AATATATATATATATATATATATATATATATATATGTGACCAAGGAATTAAGTCAAGTAAGTTAGTGAAAGTGAAGTTAGACTGTGTGAGAATTAGTCATAAAGGACAACTTCTAAAGTGAGTTTCACAGTTTGTATTGTAGTAACAGAAATAAAGGAGCATAATTTGTCTTGCCAAAGGATGTTTAAAGCAATTGAACTCATCTGTGGGGACTTTGATGAAAGAGGGACAATTATTTAAAGCTCTGGATACAATTGTGATTACCAACAGTTATAGTGGTAATTTTAAAGTGAGTGTCACAGCCTTGTATTGTAACAACATAGTAGAGAAGAATAATTTGTCTTGTCAAAGGGTGTTCTAAAATACATGAACCCATCTGTGTGACGAAAAAGAGAATTATTCAAAGATCTGGATATAACTGTGATAACCAATAGTGTAATAAATTTTTGAATATACATTTTGAATATATTATTTTAAAACAAGTGGATCATGTGTTGTCTGTTCATTGTTGAAATTTATCGCTGACAAGTTACAGACACCTACTGTAAAGAATCTAGCCCTATAAAATCTGACATGTTCGTTCAATTCTTGCAACTGCATCCCTTCTCATCAACTCTCTTACAACTTGGTATCCTGAATCTCTTCACTAAATCTCTCTCCGTCCCTCACTACTTGACTCCATACAATACCAATCACTATGTGTAAAATTAGTCTCCCATAACTAACCAATCAGTACTCTTGTTAGTAATAGCCCTGATCTTAAATTCTCAAGGACATCACAACAGGGTGGATGTTTTGGAAAATCTTGTTCATGGGATCAAATGCTAGAAAACATTCTTTCTCCTACTTAAAACATTTACTTATCCCCTCCCCATCTCACAAAACACATACAAAAAAGCAAAGTATAACTTTTAGGATTTTGCTATTATTTAACAATGAAGACAACCAATACAATGTGATTGGCAACTCAGTTTTGTCAGAAAATGTGCATACTACATTTTTACATTTAGTCTTTAAGACTTTTCAGTGCAAATTGTAGAATACCCTACATATGAAATAAAGAAATATATGGTTTTGGTTTGGTGTAAAGGTATTAATTTTCAAATGCTATACTTCCACAATTCAGAATTTCTTGGAACTTCGATGACTCTAAAAAACTATCAGGAGTGTTTTTCTAACAACAAAATGAGCAATATCTAAAGAACCTGCTTGTTCAATGGGCAAACTATAATGGCAAAACTTGTCCCAGGCATCAGGCAATAGAAATTCCACACCCCTGCAACACCTGTCTGATCAGATAGCCTATAACAATTGTCAATTAGAAACTTTCTTCCCTTGAAATCTAATTGTAATCCATACAGATTCAACCTCTTATCAATCATTTTTGGGTGCTAATATAACATGCGGTCTACAAAGATATTTACACTATAGCATATACTCTACACAGATACTATCATCATCACCATTTTAACTTTCGTTTCCTTGCAATTGGCAACATTTATTATAAATAACCCCTTTAAACTAATAAAGTACAAAATACCATTACATAATGTTTTTGGGGTTAATATAATTGGAATGAAATAAATTCCAACAATCAAAACTAGCATAATTATACCCTAGATTTAAGGTACTCTTTTGTAACACGCAATTTATTAAATTATTTAGCAAGAAATTATGTTTTAATGAATCATTAACACGGTGATGATGATAGTATCTGTGTAAAGCACATGCTATAGTGTAAATATCTTTGTAGACCACATGCTATAGTAGCACCCATTTTTGTCTTCATTACCAAAAGGTGCAGTTCATCCCTTATAATAAAGAGGCCACCCCACTCACTCCTTTAAAAATTATCACTATTAAATAG